AGATATACGCTAACCCTGACTAAGCCTTTGAACTTCTAACACTAACCAGGATTACTCAAGAACTTTCTAAGCATGAGACTGATACATTCCCTCTGTGTTCTGTACTTCAAGATGGGAGACAGAGAAGGAGAGAGTCAAGAGCAGATACATAAAGGAAAAAAAGTGCACTAAGTAACACACACTAAATAATAATTTAATGTACACTTAAAAAAGCAGACAAATCCCACCTCGGAGATTCCAAGTCTGTAGGCAAGGCTGCCAATCATGTGCCCCAGTCATCCACAAATAATATCCTTGGAGTGGAAATCCCAGCTGTATACATTTTACTTTCCCTCCAAATGCTTCATTTTTTCCAAACCTTTTCCTCCTTCCATGTGGTTGCTCAGACCAATTCGACTGTGTGCTTACTGGCATGTTATGAAACATGGAAACAATTAGAAACCACATTCTAGGGCACTAGAATGACTTGCTACAGAATCAATGAACTACGCAGAACTTGAGAGGATTTGGCAATAAAGATGGAAACTGTGGAATAAAACCCACTAACAGTATTTCATATTACACAAGACAGTCTACAACAGCTTTCAACTGATCTGTGTGTTTCAGGCAGCAGTCACGCTTTACCTTCAAAATCTCGTTTCTATCATTTTTTAAAAAAAATTCTTTATATGCCCTAATGAAATTCATATGAAATACTCAACATAGACTTCCTTCAGGGTTGACAGCTGAATGTATACACCAGGCAAAGAGTCTTCTTAGTTAAGTTTGGGATTGTTTCAAGGCCACATGTGAAGGGTAGTAATGGCATTTGAAAATCAAAGAACTCATGTTTTCAAGTAATCAACTTAAGTCCTAAGTCATACTTCACACTTAAAAGGGTTTCTTTAGCCATGCAAATACTAAGAATGATCAGTTCTCAAAAAAGATGAAAGGGAAACTTCTAACACCTGCTAAGGAGCCCAGTAGCCTTTTGTCTCAGTGAGCTGTTCTAACTCACCAAATGTATTAATACAAGTGCTGTTGATAAACCTTAGATCTGAGTGACAACTTAAGAGTGAACCAACCAGGCATGTGCTGGCTCAAGCCTGCAATCCAAACACTTTGGGGGCCAAGGTGGGAGGACTGCTTCAGGCCAGGAGTTTGAGAACAGCCTGGGCAACAACGTTACAGTCTAGTAGCTACAAAAAAATTAAAAATTAGCTGTGGGTGGTGGTGTGTGCCTGTAGTCTCAGATGTTCAGGCAAGATGGCTTGAGCCCAGAAATTTTAGATTACAGTGGGCTATGATCACACCACTGCATTCCAGTCTGGACAACAGAGTAAGAATCTGTCTCTAAAAGAAAAACAAAATTGCATGAACCAGGCTGAGGCAAAGCAGACAGCTTGAAAAGAGAGATGGGCTCTAAGGCAGGAGAATTCCCTAGTACCATTAAATAACCAAAAAAGGGGAGAGGGAATGTAAAACTGAATCATAAAGAAACGTATCTTCAGCGACAGTTATCACGACATGTAACCCTTGTCTATATCCCTTATGATTTTCATGTCGTATTATGGTCAGTGTAGCAGCCAGAATGTTCTATTTTGGTCTGTTCCCCGACTGATCTCCCTTCTGGAGATCCTGTCCTGGGGAAAACCAAGTGGAAAAGAATCTCATGGTCTGAGCTCTACTCTCCTCCTGACCAAAATGCATGGATGTGCCACACTGGGAAATGTGGGCAGAATTAACTATGTTCAGTGACTTGGAGAGGTTGGGATTAATCGTCAACCACAAAGAAAGAGACTCTTCTCATTTGAGAACAAAGACTGAATTATTTGGAGGCCATCCTTTGGGGAAACTGAAGTTGTCACTGTAAACCCCCCAACTGCTTAACCGAGCAATACCACTTAAGACTCATCGAGCCACCTTGCCACATCCTCTATCTCAGACAATACCCATAATTACCCTTCCATGTAATCTAATAAAGGAAAAAATGAGAATCTGAGGAGTCAAGTAAACTTGCTCATTGCCACACAGCTAGTAGGGACTCGAGTTGGCATTTGAACTCAAGACATCTGACTGCAAAGTGCCGTACTTGGAACTGTCCCGCAGCTGTCCTCTCTCATGGTGGTATCCCCATGCAATCTTGTATAATATCAAGCTGTCTTCTCTTTTTCTCCCCTCTTCCCTGCCACAAATCTATGGTCAGTGGCATCTAGCATACTTCTAATTCACAGAAGCGTTTACAACACGTACACATGTTTTCTTAATGTACCAGGGGAATAAATATTATTTTAAGAACCTGAGCCTTAATATAAATAATGACATTTCAAGCTTCAGCTCTTAGAGAGGCAATCTGTTTAAACTACCTGGACCACCTCCCTTTATGAGGAAGGCTAGTGGCACTTCCCCTCATAGGGCCAGGCTAGTTCAAATGTCTGCTTTGAAGCTGGCTGCTGGGAATTGAGAATTCACTGAGTCCAGAGGTCAGCCCACAGAACCCACCACGTTCCTAAAGTCTGGAGCTATAGATTTCGTTAACAACTCACTCCCTATTTATAACATTGCTTTTAAAGTGAAAGCCAATTCAAGCTCTTGTTTGGGAATCCAGGAATGGCTTCCCCTTTCTTCTGGCTACTTTAAGTAAAAGCAATTGTATAGGGAAAGAGTGAGATGGGAATGATGGGAGGGAGGAAGACGGAAGAGCAGAGGAGACAATATGAGGCTCCAGTGCTGTGTTAAATCTCACCAGGACACTTGGTCATTCAGTCTCAAGTGTGCTAGACTGGAGAACAAAGGGCTTTTGGGCCTTGAGGCCGAGGCCTCCTGTGTAATGTCAGATTGGTGGTGGCTCAGAATCCCCAACCGCCTATTGGCTTATGCAGGTCATCATAAGTCTGGGTACAGGCTGAACCACTACAGAATAAAAATCACGAGACAGCATTTTAATTGGCCTCCTTAGGCCATTTAACAAAGGAGAAAGCTAACCTGCAAGAGCAAAGAATAATTAATGAAGGGAGCAAACAGAGGTTCATTTAGCAACTTCCAAATAAGTTCCTCTGGCTGAGGGGGGTTGGGAGGGAAGGTAGCCTGCAACAGAAAGATAAACTGTAGGTATTTAAGTCACAGTGCCTTCCGCCAAGAACTGCTCATTACCATCAGATGGTGCAGTGGCAGTGGGGCCAGTTAGAACTAACTTTATTATTAGAAGCAATTAGGGAGAAAGGGGGCAGAAATTCATTTGGTTATTTCAAAACAAGTTTCTGTGCACAGTTTAATGAAGGCCTGCAGTGTCAAGATAAAATGTGTGTTTTACCGAAAACAGCTTTTGCAAATGACTGCTTGTTACCAGCAGTTATCTCTAGGCAGAACAGACCCGGTAGGTTGGATTTACATGCATGCAATAATACAATAGTTCAGCTGTCTCAGCTTCACAGAAGTGTCAACAGGCAGTATGGCCTGATGGTACAGCACGTGTGTTCTGGAGCCAGAGTGTCTGTCTTCAATTCCTAGCCCTGACTTTGGTAGCTGAATGACCTTAGGTAAACTTTCTGTACTTTTCTGGGCCTCAGTGTACTCACAGGTAAACTGGAGGTCACAGTAGTGTTTCTTGTAATGTTAGACATTGTTATAGTTATTAAGTGTTATATCCAAGGATTGCTTGAAAGGAGAGTTGTTTTCAAAGAAATTGCTTGTTATATTGGAGTTACCTTAAGTACAAATCGAGAACAGATCCATTTACATCTTTTGAATGGGGTTTGCATGTAAAGTATGACAGTTGTCTTGAGAGTCTGTCATTTTTATCTTAATTCCTTTTGAGACAATATTTCAACATCTCTATACAATTCAGATGTTTTGAAATGATCTAATTGCTTTTTTGGTTTGCTAAACCAACCACATATACTGCTTTTGATTTCCCACCTTTGAGGTTACAGTTGTGGCTTTTTAATATTTTTTTATGTCCGAGCTTTCCCCTTATAAATCTCTTGGGCAGCTCTTCAATTGTCCCTCATGTATGCACCTAGGAGTACAGAAACTGCCATGCATTGAGCTTAGAAGAACATTTATAGAACCTCAACTCTCATACATAGGGAATCAGGTTTTCTCTCTTTTAAATATCCTTTCTGAAACTATCATAACCACAGTAAAAGAGACCTTTCACTTGCAGTTTCAAATTCTGTCTTGAATGTCCTCAACACTTCAATGGAAGTATCTGCTATCTTCAATGAAGTTTCAGATACCCCCTTCATTAAATTCTCAAGGTTAAAGGTTGATTTTCTTCAGATGGCTACAATAGGTACACATGTACTCAGGAATATGGTACACCGCTTACCCATTATTTTCTAGTCTTTCAAATCAACAGCATTTAACTAATGTGCCATGCACCATAATATTGGACTCATATGATGAATAAAACTATTTTCTTAGACATTACCAAGCAATGACTCCATTATTAAAATCTACTCATTTTGGAGAAGTTTAAACTAGCAAAATGCCCGCTATGCATTTATGTGTTTTCTCAGCCGTGTATTCAGCCACATCATTTTTCCAGCTGCCCTGACTTAAATTATTTGCATTAGTATAAATTAAGAGCCTCTTTCACAGAATTTAAGTCTTACACTGCAGATTACAAGAAAGAAAAAGTTGACAATAGCAGAAGTACATATTGGTGGGATTCTCCTCAAAGCCCGTGGGTTCCTGTTCAATGGTGTTTCTGAAAGAGGTTCACGCTAATACTTATTTTCTCTAACCAAGTTTTGTATTCCTCTGAATAATCCTTTTTTTTTTTCCCTTTAGCAACCACACACATCATAACAGGGGAGAATTTCTTCTTTGAAATTCTTTTTTGAAATAAAGAGTTTTAAAGAACACTTTAATTAGAGTTGTTGATGTCCATTCATAGTTAGTATCTGTTAGAAAGTTAAGCCTTAGGGAAGGGTTAGATTCTGAACAGAATAAAATATGCAATATACAGACTCTGAGGGAAAATTTTTAAATGGAAAGAGGTGGATACTTATGCTTACCCTTGATCTTTCTTCTAGTTTTGTCATCATGACCACTGTGGCACTCCGTTGCTCCCATATCATTCTCCAAAAGTCCCCAAATGTTTCGGGGAGAGATCCCTGTGTTGCAATATAGGCATTTTGTTTCCTATAGCCATCTATGTAGTTGGCATTCACGTAGTCACTTCCTGGGATTCCTGGAAAACAAGGAGTCTTATTCAACCAGGTGTGCACATCACAAGAGTAAACAGTCTGGGACGTGACCCAATGGCAGTGCTAGCTCACTGTTCCACCTAACACTAGAGGAGTCACAATATATTGCAGGTAGAATTTTAATCAAGATTAAAAATGTGTCCTATTAGAACCATCATGTTACGAAAAAGGTATACAAACAAGTTTCAGGTCTTTTCAGTATGACAAAGAACAAAAAATACAACAGATGGTTCATAGAACGCCTTTTCTCTCGCTGGTTATCAGTTTTCTCTGTTGCACCAGCAAAAAAAAATAGTTTGCAAAGAACAATAAACAATCTGGTAACATTCCTCACCCATGTGCTTCCCCACACCCAGACAAAAACTAGATAAAAGAAGGCCCGAGTCTGAAAATGCAAGGGTGGAACACACCTAACAGTGAACCATTCTTTGTAGATTTAGTTAACAGGAAACTCATATGTAAACTCATTTAATTCTCACAATAACTCTATGCAGTAAGTCCTGTCATGATTATCCTTTTACAAAGAAGAAAACTGAGGTGCAAAGAAATTTTAAAAAGTGAGCAAACTGCTGAAGTTGGTGGAGTCAGGTTTAATCATAGGCTAGTTGTCTGCATCTTTATCTCTGTAAAATATTGCTTCTCATTTAAAACTCGTGATTTGTTTTAAGCAGCACACAAACTTCTTGGATTAGGACAAATGCCTCCTAATTGGAAGTCCAACTTTTTCTTTGGTCTTCTCCAGTTTTTTCCCTATCTAATAGGAGATCAATTTTAAGAAATTTATTTCAGACACTGTAGTGTCTTCAAACCCACCAATGGCTTCCCTTCATACTCCAAATAAAATCCAAACTCTGAACACTGCTTACAAAGCTCTGCAACTTCCCAGACTCATCTCACTCCACTCACCTCCTTGCCTTTGAAACTCTAGACACTGGCCTGCTTCAGTTATTAGAAAACATTAATTTCCTTCCTTAGCTCAATCCATATCCCAGAATATACTGTCTCCTTCCCATCACATAACACCCAGCCTCCATCCCAGAAGGCCTGCCCTGGAGTACCTTAATACATCAGAACTCCCTTGAAAACCCTTTATACTATTGATTACAAGTGGTAATTATTTATTAACTTGTTGGTGAATTTGCTTATTGCCTATTTTTACCATGTCTCTTTTATTCACCTTTGCTACCCTAGTGACAAAAAATAGTAAACAATTTGCCCCAGTGCCAACATTTAATAAGTAGCAGAGATACAATTTAATGTAGATACTGTGATTTAAAGCCTAGATTTCCATCAACACATGCCTTTAAGACAGAGAGAGGCAAATTTGAGCTTCTTCCAAGAAGAGTAGCCACAGTGAATAAGGGAATCAAAGCTACTCCATATGGGAAAGAATGTATATTATAGCCTAGCAAAGGAAATGATAGGAATTGGGGATGAGAGCTGCCTGTGAGAATAAGAAGAGAGGTTTAGATTTACTCTGTTGAGTTCCAAGTTTTAAATTCTGAAGGATATAACTACAGAGATGTGGCTTTCATCTCTAAGACAATAAAGCATTTTCAAATGGCCAGAATCGAAAAATGAGTAAATTTCCATGGAAGGTAGTGAGTTGGCTATCTCTAGGCAGGAACAAGTACATTATAGGAATATCTGTATGATATGGGAGTTAGCACTAGAACTTCTGCACAATCCCTTCTATCCCTGGGAAATATGAGTCTTGAATTATGGGGTAACTATTTTTTTTCTTTATAATGAAACATATGTTTCCAAGCTAAAATTGTCAGATTGCACTGACTGCCACTTGCAGTGACTTTGACTGCTTTTCTGATTCCAGTTGTAAAGCTGATCCTCTCAAGAAAGGTAATGAAAGTCAGATGGAAGCTACTGCACTCTGAGATGAACACATGGGTATGGAATATCACCAGCATTAGCTGAAAAGCCTTTTGAGCAAAACGTGAAACGCACAGTTGGTTGTAACGTTATTCATCTATTACAGCTACTCAAGAAGCAGTTGGGGTTTTGGCAGCCCTTTGTTGATAAAGATCCTATTCCTCCCCAACACCAGATTATTGTAGATTCAAATGACAGTTTAAATAAAATTCTCAGGTTACAAACATGGGGAAGTACACACATCTTACATATCCATAGGATTTGGTTCTGAACCAAGAATGAATCCATCTAACAGGAAAAACCCACTTTCTAAATTTTAATTTCCCATTAAAGAACTGATAAAAAGGATTCTGGCTAAGGGCCTCACTCAGCTGCCAGTATACAGGAAACTTTTTTCCAAGAAAAATCAGAATGGAGAAATCTGGGCTAAATGACTCAGAAAATGCATCAAGTAGGCCCTTTGCCACCTCCCCCCTTATCAAGGAAAACAAATGTGTCAGAATGATGCATCTGAGGACAGAGAAGATGCACAGGAGAATCATTCCCAAAGACGGGGAATCAGACCCACCCCACCCTCTTTGCGTAAATGTTAATCAGTTATTATGTAATGAACTGTTTTTTTTTTTTTTTATATATACTGCTCAAGTTTGAATAATAAATACTTTTTGTTTTACAAGGAGGGGATAGGCTGCTACTCAATAATGGTTGTACTTCCCAGGATAAGAATACAAAAATGTTGCCTGAAGACTACTAGGCACCAGGGATTAATACTACCACTAAATGCTTTAAGAATTTAAGAATTTGGTCCAAGTGTGGTGGTTCATGCCTGTAATCCCAACACTTTGAGAGGCTGAGGCAGGAGGTTCACTTGAGCCCAGGAGTTTAAGCCAGCCTGAGCACCATGGTGAGATCCTGTCTCTACAAAAAATAAGAAATAAAAAATTGGGCTTGCATGGTGGCTCACGCCTATCATGTCAACACTTTGGGGAGTCTGAGGCAGGAAGATTTCTTGAGAACAGGACATGACAAGCCTGGGCAACATGGCAAAAAGACCCTGTCTCTACAAAAACTAAAAAATTGGCTGGATGTGGTGGTGCACACCTGTAGTCCCAGCTACCTGGGAGTCTGAGGTGGGAGGATCATTTGAGTCCAGGAGATCAAGGCTGCAGTGAGCCATGACTGTACCACCACATTTCATCCTGGGCAACAGGGCAAGACTGTGTCTCAAAGAAAAAGAATTAATATTTTGAAAAATAAGTAATTGAAAAATTTTAAAATCGAATACCTCGTACAGCAAATTATTAAGCCAATGCTTTATATCCTGAAAACAATGCTGAGGCTCCTTTTATATTTTGATACCTAATTTGTTAGAAGGTAGTACATGGAATGAAAGCCTCCTTCTGACAAATCTCTTTACCCGCTCTGGTGAAAAGACATTTCAGGTAAGTTCTCTCTCACAGGTCCTCTGCAATGTGGAGATGTGAGAGATGGTTATGTTCTCCAGAAGTTCTAAGATCTAATGAGTCCTGTATTCATAAAGCCCAATATAACATACTGTGCAGAAAGATGAAGAAGAAAAATTTTTAGAAAGGATGGTGGCTTGTCCTAAAAATATTAACCCCAGATTGGAAGCTGAAGTTAATCAGCAGTCCATTTCAAGTAGATGAGACTGGTTTTTAACGTGACATATTTAGAAAGACTTTTCAACCAACACTGTGAAAATAAACAATATGCTGCTTTCCAAATGTTTTGCTGCCATGAAATGCTTCTTCAGTAGTTCTTGATTAGGATGTTTCTGCTGGAAGGCTGGATCTATAACATTCTTTCACTTTTTGGGGGTGACTTTCTCTAAGGAGTGCATATTTGTTTATTTAATTTTCAATTCCCTGCCTTTTCCAAAAAATGATTTGCTTCTGCTAATGCAACATTAATCACAGTGCACTTCTAATCCAAGAGAAGTATGTGAGAATTAATTGAATTCCTTTGGGATTATGAAGGATAGAAATTTAACTAGAAATGTAGTACTGAAAGAGTATAGAGTTGCTATAAATTAGGTGATTGCTTTTTGTTCTTGGAGTCCAGGAGATCTTCCTTCAATACTAGAATAACAGTGCTTGATTTGTTTTTTGGGGTTATCTGTTTGCTTGTTTTTTTTTTTTGGATTGAGGAAGAACTTATTAAAACAAAAGGAAAATGACAAAGATGTTTGCCTTCTGTTCCTCATAGGCAAAATCTTAGAAGATACTGGCCCTGCTGCAGAAAGTCTGTCTTGGATTCAGTTGGTCTCAGAACAGCTTATATCTAAGACTGGTTCTTCCCTAGGAGTCCGTGGCTGTATCGCATTTATAACACTGAGTGGGTTTTCATGATTTCTCATGCATTGTTTCATGTGCATTCTCTAATTAGTAACAGTCATGTCAGTAGTTCTGACATCATAAATGTTTATCCTTCTAACCTTATACATGAGAAACCTAAGGCTAGACCCTCTAACATCATATTCCATCAACATGCCCCCTTCCTGTGTTAAAGTGTATTTCCCCAGCTAATGAACTGTTCTTTCTTGTGGCATTTAAAAATATTACTTAGATGCTTTATGCTGGGTCTCTGTGTTTTGGGCTAACTAAACCTGCAGCTATAAACACAAGCCTGTAAAACCGGCAGAGACTGTGATAGGTGATTGGTAGAGCTGTGCTTCTGTTGTCCTTCATGCACAACAAGCCATAGCAAACAGCTATTTGAACAGAAATAGGCAAGCTTTAGGTTCTTATTTTATTTGCTGTTGATTGCTACTTACAGTTTCAGTGGAAAAAAAATAAGCCTGGACATAGACTTTGAATAATTGGGCCATGTGGATTTTTTAAAATCACCAAGAAGAAAAAAGACACCCAACTTGCCATGGATTTGATTTTTAAAGTCAGAAGGTAATTTGATTTGAAAAGATATCTTTTGTTGAAAAGGTGTTGCTAATGATAAGGGGTTTGTAATAAAGCCTTAAGCCCTGACATTAAGTGAAAAAGCAGGATGCAAAATGGTACATGAATTATTTGTGAAATCAAGTAATCCTAAGGGGAAGGTTCACAATTTTGCATTACATTAC